CATTACACAGGGGCAGTGGAAACTCAGTGTCCTGCTCCACCACCCTCCAGCCCCAGTATGATCCCAGAGGTGGGAGGAAAGAGTCAGGAGAAGGAAACAGAGCTCCCAGTTCAGGGCACAGTGGTAGGGGAGAGGAATTGATTTTTTTTCATCAGGAACTGCAGTGATGGGACAAGGAGGAACTGGGACATATTGAAAGAGGGGAAATTTAGGTGAGAGATCAGGAAGAAATTTTTTACCAGGAGGGTGGTTGGACACTGGCACAGGTTGCCCAGGGAGGCTGTGGATGCTCCAACCCTGGCAGTGTTCAGGTTGGATAAGGCCTTGAGTGACCTGGTCTAGTGGGAGGTGTCCCTGCCCAGGGCAAAGGGTTGGGACTGGATGGTCTTTAAAGTCCATTCCAACCCCTTATGATTCTAACTGGAGGCCCAAAGGAGTGTCCTGTACAAAAATGTGACTTGAACCATTTTTAACTGCTCAGAGGGGACCTTCTGACTCTCCACAACTCCCTGGAAGGAGATTGGAGCCAGGTGGGGGTCTGGATCTTGCCCCAGGTTACAGCAACAGGACAGGAGGAAACAGCTTCAAGTTGCACCAGGGAAGGTTTAGATTGGATGTCAGGAAAATTTCTTCACTGGAAGGGTAGTCAGGCATTGGAAAAGGCTGCCCAGGGAGGTGGTGGGGTCACCATCCCTGGTGTTCAAGGACAGGCTGGATGTGGCACCCAGTGCCAGGGTTCAGGTGACGAGGTGGTGATGGGTCAAAGGTTGGACTCGATGACCTCAGAGGTCTTTTCCAACCTCAGCAATTCTGTGATACTTCAGCAAAAGGCTTCTGCTTTTATCCCAACCTCTCTACATCTCCAGTAAGAGAAATTTAGTTTGTGCATTAAAAGCATTTACAGTGCTTTGCATCATCCTTGCCAAAGCAGAGGGGTCTGCTCCTCCACCCACAAACAAGGTTAAATTTGCTTTCTCCTAACACCCAGTTTCACAGCTCTAGTTGCCTTTTCATCAGGACTTTGACTTACAAGTCCCTGTGATTGACAGGCAGGGAAGGAGCAGGTTTTCTCTGTAGGATCAGGGCTGACGTGGGTATTGGCTCCTCACTTGTTGGGAACACAGAAGGAAAATAACACCACATTTACTTTGGTCACACAAAAAAACTGTCCCAGTTCTCCCCTGCTGCTGCAGAGCAAAGAGAAGGGGAAGTACCAGCACCCTGATACCTTTTATATCCCCTTTTTACAGATAAAACTGACAGTGAAAACCTTCTGGTTGCTAACAGCATAGAAATTTTGGTCACCTCAGGGCCCATCGTGCTTGAGCTCAGCTCTGCAGTGTTACAGTGGGAATTTACACCCCCATCACCAAAGTTTCCATGGTCTGCTGGAGCCCCTGGCACAGTTTAAGCCACTTTCTAGGCTGTTCAGGTTTTTAGCTGCCCAAAGGAATGCTGGGGTTGGAGTTCAGCACATCCCTCACAGCCGGGCTCGAGGATGAGAAGCAGATGTGATGGATGAGGTGAGGATTTGACCTGGCAGCTCCTGTTCCCCCCAGTATCACAGGGATCCTCACACCAGCTTTGAGTCCTTGCCCACCCACAGCTAAGCCAGGTTCACACATGGAATCCAGCTGAGCACACCCTGCTGTCCCCTCCCTCAACACAAACCTCCTGAGCCTCATCCTGGGGCAGGCTCTGTTCTCCTGAATCCATATTGGATCCCCAAGATATCCCCCCTGGCCTCCAGCTGCCTTTTCAGAAGGATGTTGGTGCCTTGTAAATCCTGTGTGACACCTGCCAGTCCCATGTAAATGTCTCAGATACCATCTCAAATGGTATTTGACAGCTTTTTATAGGAGTTGAATCACACCTGAGATGTGTAGGATAAGGGAGCTGAGGTGCCACCGGGGTCTGTTTCTCTCCTGTGAAAGGAGTCCTGCGTGAACTGGTTTAGATTTGAAGTTTAATATTTACACGTCAGGGAAGATTAATCCTCTGCTGCAAATGTTGGGGTTGTTCAGCCTCAATAAGAGAAAGCTCTGGGGGATTTATTAATGTCTACAAGTACCTGATGTGGGGGGAGGAAAGAAGATGGAACCAGGCTCTTCTTGGAGCAGGACAGGAGGCAACAGGCTCAATCCAAAATATGGGAAATTCCACTTGAACATAAGAATAAACCTCTTCACTGTGGGGGTGCTCAAATCCCACAGAGGAGGGATTTGGAGAAGGCTGCCCAGAGGGGTTGTGGGGTTTCCATCCTTGGAGATTTTCCAAACCTGACAGTGCACATCCTGCTCTTGTTCATCCTAGTTTCAGCAAGGGGGGGGAGTGGGCTAGAGACCTCCAGAGATCCTTCCCAGCACAGTTATCCTGTGGCTCTGTGCATCCCAGGCATTCCTAGGGCATGGCCAGAGACCACAGGCAAGTGTCCAAAGTCTTCCAACTCTACCTGACATAATTTCTGATGAAGGAAGAGGCCAGGCTCAGGCAAATAAAGCAGGTCCGAGCTTAAAAGCAGCTCAGTGCCTCAGTGACCATGTACTTCTATTAAAATAAATTAAACTAAACTAATCAAAACAGAGTGCTCTGAATCCCTCTGTGGTCACCTTTATTCATCAGGTCTTCTCTGCCCACTGCTAACAATAACACAAAGAATGTGACCAAAGAGAACAGGAGCAGCAGAGCAGAAGTTGTGAGAGACCCAGAACTGGGCAGCTGGGTAAGGTTAAACACAGAGAAATGAGAGGGGGGTGAGGCCCTGGCAAAGAAATTGTGGATCTCTTATCCCTGGAAGTGTCCAAGGCCAGGCTGGACAGGGCTTGGAGCAACCTGGGCTAGTGGAAACTGTCCCTGCCCATGGCAGAGGGTAGAATGAGATGGGCTTTGAGGTCCTTTCCAACACAAACCATTCTGGGATTCTGTGATTAAGATATGATATGTAGAAAGGTGTTTATTCAACTCTCTTCTCCAAGTCTCAAACAATATTCAGTGTTAGACACAAACTTTATTCCAAATGATGCCTGATATTTCATCCATGTTCATCTGGGACAGCATGAGATGCTCACAATGTCACTGTCCTGGACCATGGTATCCTTTTGCTTCCTGTACTGGTGTCTGAGCTCCTCTGACAGCTACATCCTTACTACACAGCCATTCCTACAGGCAGGAGGTTGAGGCAAGGAAGTGATGTGAGAGGGAAGGAAGGGGATGCTCAGGTGGAGTTTTCATGACAGGAAGGTGAGTGATCGGGGTTAATGCCCTGGGCTGGGATATGAGGACACAAAAGGCTGTTAGAGGGTGCCAGTCTGCTCAGGTAGCACTGGAAGACAGGGTTGGAAGAGACCTTTAAAGGTCTTCTAGTCCAAACCCCTGCCATGGACAGCCAAACTTTCCACTAGCCCAGGTGGCTCCAAGCCCCATCCAACCTGGCCTTGAACATTTCCAGGGATGGGGCAGCTTCTCTGGGCAACCTGTGCCAGTGTTTTACCATCCTGATCAAAAAAGAACTTCTTCCTTACATCTAATCTACATCAACCTTCCTTTAACTTAAAGCCATTACCCCTGTCACAACACTCCCTGCTGAAAAGTTCGTCCCCATGTTTCTTATGGTCTCCTGCAAGTACCAAAAGGCTGCAATGACACCTTCCTGGAGCTTTTTCTTTCCAGGTGAACCCCCCCAGCTCTCCCAGCCTGGCTCCAGAGCAGAGGGGCTCCAGCCCTGGGAGCATCTCTGGGGCCTCCTCTGGACATGCTCCAACAGTCCCACATCCTTCTCACGTTGGGAGCTCCAGAGCTGGAGGCAGCACTGCAGGTTGGGTCTCACCAGAGCACAGTAGAGGGGAAGAATCCCCTCCCTCCACCTGCTGGCCACCATTCCTCAGTCTTGGAAAGGTGCAGCTGGGGGTGTTCAAAGCACAGCCCACGGCAGAACAAGCAGCTGAGAAGCGAGGACGATCCAGCCTTTGGCACCCGAGCTCAACCTCTGGTGGCTCTGGCCCTTTTCTTTTGCAGTCTAAAGAACCATTTCTGTCCACCTGACGGAAAGTTTTTACAGATCTCCTCATGCCACTGTTCCTGGCCACACCCAGGGCACACCCACCCACCTGCACACCCAGTCACCCACACACCACAAGCAGCCACACCCAAACAAATATGTGCCCAAGCACCCTCGTGGTCCACCCAGAGTGAAGCTGTTGAGTTCACCTCTTTTGCAGCTTCCCAGCCTGTTGTATCACTGCCATTCCTTTCTCCCCAGAGTCCTCATCCATTAACTCATTTAATTGCTGCATTTCGGAATCGATGGGATTTCATCGATTTCCAAGGAGCTGCTCAGGGTTTGGGCTGGCCAAACCAGCTGGCAGTTTTGTCATATGCTCTCCCCTCAAATCAATACTTAATAGATGAGAGGGATACTTGAGACTGAATACAATTTCAGCGGGATGGAAGGTACTTCATTACAACCTGACTGTCTGTTTTGTTTCCTACAGCCAATTTGCAGTCTCTTAAAATGATCATAGACATAACTTAGATCAAAACAAACCAAATCCCCCACGTGAAAGATGCTCCTGGCAACCCCCTCCCTGGAAAGATAAATGGGTTTCATTTCTATCTTGAAAGGATTCAGCCAAGGTCTAGAGGCAAAAGTTGCAGTTGGAAAGAAAATTCATCTTGTTGAGGGGGGACGTGGGCCTAGGCAACCTGGTCTAGGTGGCAGTGCTTGAGCAGATCCAGGGGTTCTTTCCAACCTCAACCACTCTGTGAGTCTCTTCATCTCCCAGTACAAACCCAGAGGTGCAAAGAATTACACTATCACAAGATCCATCTTCACACTGCTGCCAACTCATGGATATGTGTCAGTGTTGTGGTACCTGTGGTTCTCATAAAGCTTCAGATCTTGGAATTGTGCAAGAGTGACAGTAGATGCAGACTCAGCAGGCCAAGGCCATTGAATCTTTGTTCCCTGACAGCTGATGTAATGAGGGATGATCCCACTCTCACCTGATCCTCCCATTCAAACCAGGCTGCAGCTGCCTCCAGTGACTCGACTTGTAAGATGGTAAATTGATCCTGGTAAAAGAAATCTAAGGTAAGACCTAAATGTAGCAAGAAGAAATAGCTAAAGAAATAACTTCACTTACAGAGGACAAACCACAACTGGGCTGGACTGGCTTTGGACTAGACCAAATAATTGTGTGAAAAGTGGGAAACCAGCTGATGAAACAGCCCCATTGAGGTGATCCCAGTGGAACTGGGCAACATTAACCCCACTGCCAGTCCCACCAGCTGTGGGGGTGCTCGCTGATGTCTGACACTCACAAGAGAAAGCAAGCTCTGTGTTCTGAGGGAGATGCATTTTTGCACCCAGTGATTTGAGAAATAAACCACATAAATGCATATAAATTACAGGAGGGCACAGGAGGATGAGGCCAACGCAAGGCCCCAAAGGTTGTGGGGTTTTTCACACCGTTGCTGTGGTGGTGAGGACACTGGAGCAGCAAAGCCACAGCTTTGAGTCCAGAACAAAGTGAAAAATGATTTTTAATGTTACTACAGGAAACCTTGGAGGAAGGCAAACTTCTGCAAGACACTTAGTGCCACATACATGTGAGAAAAGTGGGCATTTTATATGAGGAGAGGGACTTGGGAATGCTGGTGGACAAGAATCTTGACAAGACCCATCACCGTGCTCTTGCAGCCCAGGAAGCCAAACGTGTCCTGGGCTGCACCAAAAGCAGAGTGGGCAGCAGGGCAAGGGAGGGGGTTCTGCCCCTCTGCTCTGTCCTGGTGAGACCCCACCTGCAGTGCTGCCTCCAGCTCTGGGGCTCCAAACACAGAAAGGATGTGGAGCTGTTGGAGCAGGTCCAGAGGAGGCCACGGGGATGCTGCCAGGGCTGGAGCCCCTCTGCCCTGGAGCCAGGCTGGGAGAGCTGGGGGGGTTCA